ACTGAACTTGTTGGATGTAACTATTTCGGCATCAGTCCCACCAATGTAGATGGGGGAGGGTCGGGATCTGTTTCTGCCAAAGTCCACCACCAGCTCCTTTTTTTTTGGCCACATTCAGCTGCAGGTGGTTTACCTCAACCACCTCATGAAGCGGTCAATCAGTCGATATTAAGCTATCTATATTATAACGCTATATTAAGTTGATATATTAAACTATCTCAGGGATTAAATGTGCAGTTAAAGTTCTTTACACTGACAGAAAGAGGAGTTTAACTGGTCACACCTATTTAATATCAAAGCGGGTTGTTTGTGGCCTATGTTATAAATGAGTTAGACGTCCCTACCTAAATGCTCTAAACTGAAATGTATGCGTTATGTAGTTTTAAACCACTGCATATCTACACAATGTGAATGAATGCAGTGAGTTTATAGGGTGCTGATTTTAATTAAAAACAACAAGTAGAATACATTTTCCTGCACAATGAATAAAAAAGAACAAGGTCAAGCAACTTGTGGGAAAATGTGAATCTTTGACTTGAAAAATTTTTGCTACTAACAAATGTTTCCCACTAACAGGTCTGACTGATGACTGAATTCCAACTCAACTACAGATAAAAATGCTTCTCTTTCTTATATCAGCTGTGCAGCCAACAGTTTCAATTTCAATCTGAAGATTTTGCCACTGTTACCATAGCAACAGACAGTAGGACTTTTCTTCATAGGAACTGTGAATATTTGGGTTATTTTTGTGAATCTTTGTACTTCATATTATTCACATAATGATGTGACTGCATGGACAGTTAATCTATTAATTAAGTCCATAGTAAATGACGATGTATGCTGTAATATCAAGTTACACAAATCTTTGAAATTATACATTTACACAATGTTGGATCTAAAATCGCTGATGGCTGACCTGGAATTTATGACCTGGAATTTTTTTCTTTTAAATAATAAGATGGAAAAACCTATTTAAAAATGCAAACATTTCTTATATTTGTTATTAATGTTCACCCGAAGTGACAAAGGAATTTGACAAAGGAACTTAAAAAAATCACAGACAATGTCTTGAATAATCAGGCTACTTTCTTCAAACTGCTGGCATACTTGTGGTTCCTAGGCTATTTAAAAGTAGAATGGGGGTCAAAGCCTTTAGCTTTTAGGCACCTGTTCTGTGGAACTAGCTCCCATTTGGATCCCGGGGACAAACACCATCTGAGTGCTTCTTCTTCACTCACCTTTTTTCAGTTGCTATGTGTTTTTACACCACTCTGCAATTAATCACGAGTTATTACTTCCTGTTAAAAGGGAGCTTTTCCTTCCCACTGTTGCTGTGATTTGATGCCATATGAATAAAATTGAATTGAACCATTACATATATATACACTTATATTTCATACATGGACCATTCATAGAAAATTATATAACGATCACTCTCTCTGGTGGCATAATCTCTTGCCATCCCTAGTACCACCATAGATTTGTACATGAAAATGTTGTTTATTAAATTAAGTTAGCATTAGCCTAGCTAAAATTGACACTGAATATAAGTTCTAAAACTAAATATACTGCAAAATGTTACCCCCCAATAAAAAATAGTTAAATATAGCATCAAATGGCTTGATTTGTTGTTGTCAGTAGCAACTAACAGTGCAGACTTCTGATATTTTGTGCAAATTTAAGCATGTAAAACTTTGATTATTTTTAATAAAAAGTGTGTGAAACTGAACTTAGACTTGTATTTCTAACTCATCCACTTCCTGTTGTGTAGCTTTTTTTTCTTTTATACTTCTTGGGCATAGTGCTTATTTATTATATAGACTACACAGTACACAACATCAAAATTCACATTTTTTTATGTAACTGAAATATGTAATAATTTGGGCTTAAGCCAATAAGAAAGTTGCAGACTATGTTTATATGAAAAATGTATAAACATGTTTATTAAAATACATCAAATTCAGAATCAGAAAGACTTTATTTATCCTGCATTTGATGTACTTAGTTGATTACAGAATTTAACACCTGCATAAGTGTAAAGAAATGGCTTTGATTTTTCCACCCTAAATTTTTTATGCCACCCTAAGAACATTTCTCTAGATCCGCCCCTGCTGCTGAGGGTCTCAGAGGTGTTTAACACATGGATTATTCTGGAAGGGGTGCAGCAGCTCTGTCTGCCAGCAGGGGGAGCATCGCGGCTAAGACTGTTAAAGGTTTCTCACTCAGCCCCTCCTTCCTTCCTTCCTCTCTCAGTGGTCACGCTGTCATTTGTCGCCGGCTCCCGTGCTCTGACAGTAAAACGGTAAAAATGAAGATTTGGACGTCAGAGCACATTTTCAAGTGAGTATTTCTTTTTTTTGCGGTAGTGTTTTATAAAGTATGGTTGTTAAGTTGGCTATTTCTTCTTATATAATCAGTTTTCGTGGCTCCGTGTGCAGTCTGGGCGAAGCTTGCAGATAAGTTAGATAACACGAAGGCACGCCGCTTTAGTCGAGTTACCCAACGCTTTTAGTCTATATTAGTTATGTTTAGAAATGACTTTTGACTTCCCACCGCGTTTGATGTTTACAGCTGAAGCCTGTATTTGCTACATGTATTGGTTTTTGAAATTAAAGTGCCCTTTACCCGAGTTAACTTTTGTCGTTAGCTTTGTGCTGCTAACATTAAAGCTAATTTTTTCGCCTTGAATACTATGACTGTAATTATGTTTAGGTTTATTGTAACATTTCAGCCTTGGAGGACTGTTTTCAAATGCTTTCCCCGAGCCTTGGTATTTGTTATGGGATAAAGAAAAATTTAATTACCCGCGTGTTTGACATTATCGACGGGGAACGTTACATAACGACCGGTCTGTCGTTTAAACACAATAAACGGTATATAATCAGAGCATTTCTGCTCGTTTTACAGCGACTGATAAATAAAATCAGTCTGGTTGCTTAAACCCTCTACTAGAAGTTTCCAGAGAAAAGCCGTGTGTGCTGCTGCTGTGAGTCTGCGCTGTGCAGAGGGGGCGTTTCTTCTCCCGCCTGTCTGCAAACACAGACACTATTGTGATTCACCATCAGCGATGTTGTTACATTCAAATGTCCCCATATTTGCAGAAAATAATTTGTTCCTATATCATTACCTCCTAAATTGGGTTTGGAGTTAAGCGGGTCGTCTGCTAACTTGAATGTTTGCGACAAAGCGCTGCATGAATGGATCTGACTGTTCGGAGCCACAAATGCACCACATCTGCTGCTTGCATTGCAAGATACTAAATGCACTAAACCTTTTCTCCAGCCAAACAAGTCAAATCAAGCGATGTCTATTAAATATCTGTTCTAGTTCACTTGTACACTTGTTCTGATGGAAGTAGAGATGCACAATAACGCAACTGGTCCTTTTTGTTGCTTGTAAGATGAGTGAAATACAGGCATGGTGGATTTTTAAGTAGTGTTTACCTTAGTAACCTCAGAATCTAAGATGTTTTTCCACACTGAAGAGCACACTCTCAGCAGCAAGCATTGAGTCATCTTCAGAATGTTAAATTGCCCGTTTCTAACGTTGATATCGATTCAAACAGCCACCCATGGGAGACTGTGACCAAGGCTGCGATGCAGAAGTATCCCAATCCCATGAATCCCAGTGTCTTTGGTGTGGATGTTCTGGACAGAAGTGTGGACACTGAGGGACGGTTACACAGCACCAGACTGCTCAGCACGGAGTGGGGGCTCCCTGCTTTGGCCAAGTCGGTGAGTTAAAAGGATAAGAGAAATGATCGACGTGTTTTGTTCAGACTGGGTAATGTTAAATTGTTTTTCCTTGTATCATTTCAGAGTTGTATTACTTTTTTATTTTATTGTTTCCTGCAGATGTTTGGGGTCACAAGAACATGCACGTATGTCCAGGAACATTCAGTAGTGGACCCTAAACAGCAGACGTTTGAGCTGCAGTCTACAAACGTGAGTAGGATTGACAAATACTTTTATTATGCTTCATCAATACAGACATGAAAGCCGAATTGTTATGGAAGGATGTAACTGTAACCTGATCTCTGCAGTTGTATTTACTTGTCTAATCAGCATTTCTGTCACTATAGATTTGATGTGGTTGCTATGTGTCACCTTGTGGCAGATGCTGATATAAAAAGACTGATTCCAGGTGTGCTTTGTTCTTACAGATTTCCTTTACCAACCTGGTGTCTGTGGATGAGAAGTTGACATACAAGCCACATCCACAGGACCCAGAAAAGTAAGGGACTCATTTTTATCTTTCTCATCAGTTAAATTGGAGTTAAAAAGCACAACATTAAAAAAACCCTTAATATTATTGCAAAAAGGTTTTGAATGTTTAACTCCAAGATTTTTAAAAACAAAAAGAAACTCTACAAAGAAAAAAATTGTTTCAGCTGTGTTTGTGACTTTTCTATGCTGGCATATTCAGGACAGTACTGACACAGGAGGCTTTGATCAGTGTGAAAGGCGTCAGTCTGAGCAACCACCTCGAGGGTCTCATGGCCAAGACCATATCCGTCAATGCCAGCAAGGTAAAGCTGCTTTTAAAATCCTCCTTAAACTCACCTTGATAATATAGTTACTCTTCTGATTTTAAAATCCTCATCACTGCGCGTTATAATGTGAGGCATTTGTGTCTGTTTTAGGGTCGGGAGGCGATGGAGTGGGTAATCAGACGGTTAAACACAGAAATCGAGGAGCTGACTGCCACTGCTCGCGGTACCATGCGATCCCCCATGGCGGCAGCAGTTGCAGATAAATGATCTGGATCTTCCCGGTTTGTTACTCCACCATCATGAACCGATGGGCTTCTCTGTAATTTTCCCCTCAAAGGGGACCCTCACCTCATCTGCCAACGCAGCCTATTAACCACAGCCCCATCCTTCGGCCCTGCGTTTGTTTGTCATGAGATCATTGTTAGTCCTTCCTCAGCAGTCTGCGCCAACAGACTTTTACACCAGTCAGGTAGTGACGAGGAAGCATTGAGCTGATGACTGTTTAAAAACAAAAACAAAACGCCACTTAAATCGGACTGCACTTGAAGCTCATATGACTTGGTTTTGTGATATGGAAACTTTTTTTAGAATTGATTTCACAGCGTGCCTCTGAATCATCTCACCAGGTTCTTCCTTTTGTCTCTCACATTTCATCATCGCTTTCAAATCTTCATAAACAAGCAGAGGATGGCTCGATTGGAGCAACTTTAATGTCAACCTTTGGATTGATTGACCATGCCGTGCACAGCAAAGCTGACTGAAATGTCTCAAAACCAAATGCTGCCGTGCACACAGACTGTAAAAGAATATGAAAGTAAAGGGGAAACTGTAAGTTACAAACTGCATCAGCTTTCTGTCAGGTGGGTTGATCAGATTCCGTGTACCTTTGGGTGATGTTTTCACCATAGCAGAAACACTTTGAAGAAGTGCAACTTCCCTCAGAACATGGGTTAGACTTTGAGGTCTGATACTGATACTGCATCATAACTGTGTCAGGGGTCACAGGAGAGTGAGAGAAGGTGTTGTAGAGCAATGAAGGCAGCTTAGACTTGTTATTTAACAAACGTCTCAGTGCATTTAAACCAAGTGGAGCAGACTGTTGTTTGTGTTACTAATGCATGACTACTGGTATATATGCTACAGCTGTCAGCACAGTGGACCGGACTTTTTTTTTTTTTGGTTCTTTTTCTTCACCCACTTGTGGGTCACTGTGGTCGAGTTTTGCTTCAAGAATACTTGATTTCTGAATTCAGTTTTTTCTTACAGTGATGTGCTGTACAGTTAAGTGTTACAGTATGAGAATGTAAATACTTGAATGTTTAACTTAATTTCAGCATATATACTTTAAGTGGCGGCAAGTCCTCGAAGGGTGCAAATTAAAAAGAAGGAAAAGAAGAGTGGGCACTGAGCAACGTGTCAGGATTCACCAGTGTTTAGTGTGTTGTTGACGCTCACCAGTGTTGTGGTGCAGCCCTGCAGGGTTACGTTCAGGGTCACATTCTGTGCCTACATGAGAAATAGAAATAACCAGTTTTACACCCCAGAACGCTTTATTCTAACTTTATTTGTGGCAAACGAGCTCTGTTTTATTTGATTGTTATTTATTTTGTATTTGTAACATTTACAAAGGCTGAACTGACCAACTAAGAACTGTTGGCTTGTGATGTTGTGCAAATTTGGTGCAGTCCCTCCCCCTCTTTAAATCTTTCTTGTTTGTGTCATAGAGAACTCTCAGGTGCTACATTGTTAACAATGGCTAGTGTCCCTAATAAGTTTTTCAAAGACCACAAGGAGATGAAAGAAATGTTACATCCCTTTTTTTCTTTTCTTTTTTTGTACTTACTATAAAATGTACAAAGCTACAAATAAAGTTTACATGAGAAGGGTTGGTGGTACATCTTAAGCTTTGTACAGTGTTAAAGTGTCCCTTCTTGGATCTCAGCAGCATCACAGGTCTTCCAAGATGCTCCATGGTTAGCTTTCTGTTTCGACAGCATTACATGCATACTTCCAGTTTGACTCATCATTTAAAACAGTAACTGTCTGGTTTTCAGTTTCATCATGTGCAACCCACCTCTTGATCATTTTGTCTAAAACCTGACCCGTCCACACAGTCTCATTTCATGAAATGTGATGTTTTTCTATGGGGTACATTTTGAGAACAGTGGCTGTAAATAGGCTTGTATTGATACTTTGGTGGTGTTACATTCCAAGAATGTGAACGTGGAACAAAATCTAAAGTGTGCACACTGAAATGTTACAAAATAAAGAGATGTCATTGTTTCATGAACATGGTGTTGAGGATTTGTGTCAAAGATTAAATGGTTTTAAATTCTGTTCACTGCTGTCTGACTTTATGAATCAAACACCTCTTTTGGAATTTTCCTTTTAAAGACATTGCCCTCTGGTGGTAGAATAAATAATGCACAGTGTACTGTCACCAGCTACAATAGGATTGTCTATTAGGGTGCTTTTTTTTTTTTTTTTTTTTTTTAACTCTATTGGTATACTCAACAGTAGTTCACCTGCTAGTTAATGCAAAAATCCAATCAGGTAACACCTAGATGGATTTACACACGTAGATGGGCTCAAGGTGACCTGCTGAAGCTCAAACTGAGCATCAAAATGAAGAAAGGTGATTTAAGTGACTTTAAACAGCGTGGTTGGTGCCGGATGTGTTGATCTGAGTATTTCAGAAACTGCTGATCTGGGATTTTTCTCCACACAACGGTCTATAAGGTTTACAGAGACTGGTCCAAAAAAAGAGTTCAGAGGAGAACGACAGACTGCTTCAAGCTGATTTGGAAGGCAACAGTAACTCAAACCACCGCTTGTTACAACAAAGTATGTAGGAGAGGATCTCTGAATGCACATCAAGGTTTTTATAGTTAACTAAAACTAAACCTAACATAAAAACGAAGAACTGAAAAGAATTAGAAGTATTTTCCTTACTGTTAGTATCTGAGTTTAGTACAAATGTTATTAGAGCTGGACTAATGAGGACACTTTTGGGTGTCTACAAAAGTCAATGAGTTAACTGCTTTAAAGAAATTCTGTGTTTTTATTGTAATATCTGTACTAGTTTTCCTAGAGCTTGCCTCTGACATATGCACTTTGTGTTATAATAATTAAAAAGACCCAAACTAACGCTGAACATTTTTAAACAATAAAATCTAAGGTGAAACAAGAAAATCCTCCCTGGAGACAAACTGAAGCTAAACTGAACTAAAAACAAAATAATCAAAATGAAATAAAAATAAAAAACTAATTAGAAAATACAAAACTACAATAACTATGACGCACATCGCATTGAACCTTAAAACGGAAAGCTACAGCGGCAGACAAGCACACTGGGTGCATCTCCCGTCAGTGTGCCTCTTCTGATAATGCACCATGCCAAAAAGTCATCTCAGTTGGTTTCTTGAACATGAAAATGAGTTCACTGTACTCAGATGAACTCCACAGACACCAGACCTCTGTCCAGTAACCACAAATCTATTTTTGTTTTTACAGGGAATTGGCACAGCGAACAAATCATGTCAACATGGACCAAAACATCTGAGGAAAGTTTCCAGCACCTCGATGAAGGATTATAAGAGGCAGTTCTGAAAGTAAAAGAGGGTCCATGAGGGTGTGCCTAATAAAGTGACCGGTGAGTGTACGTGTCTATAAAGTCCTCTAAAGTTATGACAGAAGTTGTTTTTAATCCTTTATTCACTCGTCTTCACATCATTATTTTCATCAGAGAATCTAAAAGAAGTTTTAAAAATAGATGTTGTCACTAAGAGAAAAGAAGTCTGGCAGCTCCACTTAGGAAGCGTTTCAAAAGTTGCAAATAAGATGTGCAAATTTCAAGCCAAGTTTTTTTGATTATGTACTTCAAAGCATGATTTTCAATCCAGACATGAGGAGACAGCATTAGGGCTGTTACTACAGATTCATTCATTCACATTCATTTTGATTGGTGGTCGGAGGTTTGATGAGGAACTGTGACGAGGAGCAGCCATGTTTGGTGTTTGTCAGTTGAAGCGTCTCTACGTTAGCGACACCTGCACGTCTGAAGAGATTAATATGAATCCCTGTTTGGGACAAAGACAGTGGTCAGCCCAAAGATGAATTCTGCTCTGAGTTACAGATTCATTCAAAGACCAAAGCATTGTGTGTTCTCCTAAAAGTACCGACCTTCTCCTTCTTCAGAACCGAGTTGACCAGCTGTGCATGTTTTGTCCCGAGGACAAGAAATCCTTCTCCCAGTTTCTCTGTCACAGAAAAAAACAAGTCAGGAAAGGAGCAACACTGTTTCCACACAGCGAGCCTCCCCCTTTGTTAGATTGAAGAGAAGGGGAAGTACTTCGTATCTGCCCTGCGTCGCTCTAGTTTACGGAAACTGCTTGACATAATACACATTGTTTTTTAGATAAATGTCATGAAGAAGTGGAAGTAGCACAAAGTGGCAAAAATGAAGTATCTAAGACTCACGGTTCACTTTAATCAGTACAATTTCCCCCCCCTTCCTCGCCAGGAATTCAAGAGAGTCAGTCTGCAAAGAGAAAAACACGCTGTTGACCTGTGACCAACAGAAAATCTGCTGTTTTTACTTGTTTATTTAATTTTGGGGACATTTACCTTGAAAGTCCCCACTTCACTTGACGCAAGGGTCAGCGTCAGACTGGAAGAATACAGTGTCATTATTTTTAGAATGAAGTTTAAGAAGTTGAGCTCAGTTTTGCAGTTTAACACTTGCTTATGCTTACTTATCCATCTTCACAGAGCCTTTCAGTTTTCCGTCATCGATCCACAATTCGCTACTGAATTTGGAGTCCTGGAACCAAAAAAAAGGATTATATTTCAGTAGCAACAAATGTTAATTTCTGTTACATTAATCTGTCATATTTTGTAGTCGATCAGTGCTGCTAAAAAAATGTCAGAAATCGTAAAGAATGCATGCTGCAGTTTAAGTTGGTCCAAACTTTGATATCAACCCTAAAGATAATATAGTGAGTACAGCGAAGGTCCAACAAACAAAAGTACTCACAACATTGATGGTGAACACCGGGATCTGGGTACCATTGGGTAGGATGACGGAGGCCTTCGCAACAGCCTTGATGGTGACGTTAACGGCATCAGGCTGGATGGAAAACTTTGGAGCCTCTTGGGCATAAACCAGAACACTCATCAGCATATCTGGATACATCTCGGCAAGCTGCAAAGTGAACAAGTAACAAGTGTAAACACTTTATTCTTGACTGTATCGAACTTAAAGAGAAAGTAGTATAAATTAAGCAAACTGCTGCTAAGTAAGTGAGGTAACGGAGTCCTGATGAAACCAAATGAGTCCCAGATGAAGATAAAGACACAAAGCTAATCATATGAACTGAATTAAAGAGGGTTTTTTTTAATACGTGCAAAGACAAAACACACAAGAGGCCACAGAGTGTTTCATCGACTTCTCCCGGAGGTCATACTAGAAAAGGGATGTTTACCTAAGTACTTGAGACAGGCATGGAAGACATACTTCCTCTCTTAGCCCATTTGTAAAATACTTTCACTTCCACGATAGCAAAACTTAGCTGTCTTGATTTTTTAAATAGTTTTTGTGACTAGTTATCAGCATAGTGTGTGTTTGTTTTTCAAGCTGGTTGGTTTTATCATGCTTGTCATTTTGTATATGCAAAGATATTTTAACATATCTGTTAAAACATCTTTACATACAAGCTTCTGAATGAATGACAAATGTAACGTGATCGTTGGTGTTAGACGGATCGGTCTGAGGATTTCATAAACTGCTGATCTGCAGGGATTTTCCAGCGTAACCATGTCGAGGGTTTACGTGAATGAGGTGAAAAAATGGTCGGAAAAAGAGGAAATATCCAGTGATCAGAGAACAGTGAACTGTCCTCACAGTCACCCAACAGAACTGTTGGGTTTAACACTTAAACCCCGCTGACTCAGAGACCAATCACTTGTGTACAAAAGCAAGACCACAGCGCTTTCTGTCTTTTACTTGCTGCAAGGGGAGATCTTCTCTGATCTGATCTTAGCCCACCTCCAACTCCCGCCTTCCTTCGCAGCTAAAACACTCATATGTGAACATGCGTCGTGTGTGTCTGCAACAGTGAACATGTGATGTGTGTGTGAATGTGTGTGTGTGTCTGTGAGCATGTCAATGATATGTGAGTGTAGGTGACACACAAAATTAACTCTATACATTTAAATTTTATTTTAGTTGGGTTTAAAAATGTTTACAAAATTAGCTTATAGGTTTTTTTATGTTAGCCTAGTAAAATCTTTTTCTAGCTTTAATTTTTCATTTCGTTTTATTTAACCATATCAACCTTGGTCAGGGTGGTTTGAAAACATTAAACGTGAAAACTAATTGAAAAATAAATCTGAGCGAATGCAATGATGTTTGAAGTATCGTTGTTTTGCAGGGTGAACATCATCATGTAGTGTTTCTGGGATTACTTTTCAGTGTTGCCAAATGTAACCCTGACACAAACAGACTTACCTTTGGAATGAATTTTCCCAATGAGGTGGTATTCAAGTGCACTGGAGATATCGCAGGGATCTGAGAGGATAAAATAACGTCTCTTAACCACACACTTCACCTCAAACTTGAACTGTTTTGCTTTTAACTGTCTTTTATTTTTAGTATGTGTGTTCACTTACCATGCTGTCATTGATGAGGAGCTGAAGCAATTTAGCTGAGAAGTATGCATAGGAGGCAGAGTTCAGAGTGAAATCAGACATGCCCACTGACAGCATGTAGCTCGGCTTGTCCGGCATGGTGAAAGGCTGGGCCTCAAAGGGAGGCTCGACCGGAGCTTTGATATTGTAAAACTCCCCCTTTAATTAAAAAAATTGATCAAATAAAACTAAATATCATTATTTTGAAATTCTTATTCCTTTCTCAATGTTTTTTCATAAGCTTTCATTATAAAATATAGTTGCATATGTTGGCTTGTAGATGGAGTGTTATGAGAAGCCCGGGACATTAACATAGAAACTGGAAAATGTGTATCCTTACCTTAAGGCCCACATTCATACTTGAAGCACCGATGATAGGGATGTCAGTGAGAGGAAGGGCAAGAGAGAGAACTTCATTCACATCGACTGAAACTGAGCAGAGTGAGAAAAAAGCATTATTCCTTTATACATTTAAAATGCTGTTATTTTATTATTCTGTTCACTAATTTGTGGCCCACGGTTTTCCTCTTTGTAATTAGGAGCTGCAGTACCGTTCATGACATGCAGGAGGTTCTCAAAGCTTTCAATGTTTTCTTCCACACC